CGGGGTGGCTGTGAGAGTACCTCACCTGTTGGCCTGCGTCTCCCAGGCAGGTTTGGAGCTGGTGTTGGCAGTGCAGGAGTCCTCGTGGTTTCTCAGCGCAACGTGGTGTGGAGAATCTTTGTGTGGGCTGGGGGTTTGGGTCTCAGGGTTGTGCTTCTTCTTGGTGGTTTTTTTGTGCCAAGTGTGGCTCCAGCATCTCAGCAAGATTTTTGATTTATGGAGCTCATGCTATCTGCTTCCTCCCTCTAGTCTCCATCTTGGATCCTCCCTCCCATGTCTGGCTTTTTACCCTCCTTTTTCTTTTTTTGTGGGACTGGGGTTTGAATTCAGGGCTTCACAGTTGCAAGGCAGGCATGCTACTGCTTGAGCAGTAGAGCTCTGGTTATTTTGGAGATGGGCTTTTTGTGAACTATTTTCTTAGTCTGGCCTCAACCCACAATCCTCTGGACCTCAGCCTCCATGTTGCTAGGATTGTAGGCATGACTACCAGCACCCTGCTACCCTATTTTTTTTAATTGCCTCTCATTTGACAAAAATCATGTAACAACCTTTTGTGTAGAAGGAATAGCGTTAGACTGTCCTCTAACACATTTGATGGAAAAAGTGCTTTTTAGTTTTCTTTTTGAATGTTTACAAAGGTCTCTTTAACATTCTTAACTTCATTACTAATATCATGTAATTTTGGGGATTTTGTCAAATTTCGGGAAACCTCTATTGAGTTTCAAGTTTTCTATGGAGTGACTGCTCTTAAATAGTCTCTGAACTTACCATATTCCAAGTGTCCCTAGAAGATCCCCTGAACTGAGATGGCAGCAGTAAAGCAACTACACAAAAGGAGATGGCAAGACACATAAAAGCACCCCAGTGAATTCTCAGTAAGATCACAGACGTGCCTGCTGCCACTCCCTGGTTGCATTAGGAAGAGTGATCATTACGTGTGGGCAGTTGAAGTAGAAAGACACAGCAGCCCTAACTGATAACGGCTGGAATGTCTTGTTTTTGCAAACTTAATATGGTCATATGCTGTTTATGATGTTTGGGTGAATGCACAACAGTGATGATCCCATAAGCTTATAATGAAGATGACAAGTTCCTAGTGATGTAGTCATCGTAACACATGGTGTCTTTGTGGTGATGCTGTGTAAACAAACCTGCCAAGCTGCCAGTTGTATAAAACAAACATGTACAGTTATGTACAGTGCATACTACTTGATGATCCATGACTATGTGACTGACTTCTGTCCCTACTATGCAATAGTTTTTTGATTGTTAGCACGCACTCCTACTGGAAATAAAGTTTACTGGAAATGAAGTTTACTGTAAAGCAGTGTAGCATGTTACAGCAGCAGAGCCTCATGCTTCTGCTTAGTCTGCCTCTTCTGTGCACTACTTTTTTCTTGTGTTTGATGTCATATTTAGAATCTTCAGTTCTAACACTGGACCATACAGGACGATCTGTATACTCCCTGGCAGTGAGCACAGACACCTGTGTGGTGACAGGTGTAGCATCGTGGGCTCTCCCGCTGAGCAACAGCCTTGCTGAAGAAGCTGCATATAGATCCACCTCAAATACCAGTGGTGCATCAAACCAGAGACTTTCCACCAGTCAAAGAAGCATGCGGTGTGATTTCTTTGGAAGTGCACATTACTGTATCCCCGAATACTCTTCTGTACAGGACAGTCAGAACACTTGTCCTCCCAAAAACCTTTAGCCCCCAGATCAGTCATTGCCCTGAGCAAACCTTGCGCATTTATGTGCCAGTCACTCCCCATTGTCACCCTCGGGTCTTTAGCATGAGTACATCTTTGGAAAAGTAAGTGTGAAATAGTCAATGTCTTCAAACATGAGATCAGGGAAATAGGATTACCGGATTATTCTGTTCTCTCCAAATGTATAACACAGGGAGAGCAGAAGAGCCAAGAATACCAAGACCTTTTTCATATTAAACTATGCTACCAAACTCCTAAAAAACAAATAAATCTAAATTTTGGGTGTGGTAAAACAGCATGTTAATTGTCAGAATAATCCTTGTTTCACAGACTTGATTCTAACTTTTCATTGTCCAAAATATACTAATCACAGATGTATAATATAAAACATTAATATCACCTAAAACACCATGTATAAGATATAGCATACCTTGGGCACTTGTGGCCCATGTCTGTAATCCTAGCTACTTGGGAAGCTGAGATCAAGGTTTGAGGCCACCCTAGGCAAATAGTTTGTGAGATTCCCTCTAAAATAACCAGAGCAGCTGGTAGAGTGGCTCAAACGGAAAGAATGCCTGCCTAGCAAGCATAAAGCCCTGAGTTCAAACCTCAGTGCCATCAAAAACAAACAACAATGACAAACACACAAAAATAAAATAAACAGAAAAATGGATTGGAGGTGTGGCTTAAGTGGTAGAGGTCCCTCTCTGCAAGTGCAAAGTCCTGAGTTTAAACTCCAGTCCTACCCTCCCCCCAAAAAAGATATATTATATGCATTTGGTCAGTTATATTGCTACACCACTCAGTTTTAACTGTTTTATTTTCATGGTAGTAGAAGAAAAGTAAATTGAAAAACAAAAACAATATGGGTTTGATAATCACACAAAAAGATGAATGCCATTTTGTAACTCACCAAAAGATAAAACCTTCTTCAAAAGCTTCTCATGTGACCACTGTGCAACATGGAGCCATGCTCCTTCAATGCACAAGGTCATGTTTAAACGGGGAAAAGAAGATACCCTAATCGTTACAAAGCTCAGTGTTAGGGACCCAGGGGACATTCCATAAACACTGCTTGATAACAATGTGGCTGTACAAGTAAATGTTCTTGCAAAATAACTTATGTGACATTTACTATTTTAATTACATAAAATAAACTCCATTGGAAAGAGATAAGGCCTTGTTTTTTTCTTAACATACAATGTTCAGGTATAATTTTTTTTCTAGCTTCTTCACTCACACACTGAGGCATTGCCATTACACCTAACTCAGGCTAGTTTGTTGAGAAGGAGCTGTGCTAAGGCAGGATGTGTAGACATTGGCCAAGATGGTAAATACAACTAACAATTTTACTGGAAAACAATAATCTTACAAAGATTCATGCTATTTCCTTAAAAAAAAAAACTACTTGGTAAGGTAATTTCACTTCACTTACTAAAAGAAAGAGAAATTGCCTTTGCAAAACTTAACTGTATTATTAAGCTGGAAATCGTATGGTCTTTCCTTAAAGTATATTGAAATATTTTGATATCATTATGGGTAACAGAATGAAGGCATTTTTCATTCAGCTTTGTAGATCAGTCCAAAATGAATTCCAAAATAAGAAAAACCAATGGCTGGGAGTATAGTTCAAAGGACAGAGTTGTTGTAGACACAAGGCCCTGGGTTCAAATCCCCAGTAGTGCCAAAAATCAAAAAGCCCACAAGTATGAAATAAGAAAACAACAAAACTGAATAGAGTCCCAGAGAGTCATTGAAGAACATGCATGTGTGTATATATTCACATGTGTACGAATTTGGGATATGGTTAAAGTAGAACCTTGAGTAAGTTTGGAAAGATTTATTCAATAAATGATAGTGAGATAATTGGTAAATTGTCTCTCTGCTCATTCCCACTGCAAACTATTTTCCTTTTTATGTTTCTCTGTGTATTCCACATTCCACATGCCCCATTTTCCATTCTCCTTCCACGGGAAGGAGATTCTAAATTTGAAACTAGATCACCAAAATGCCAAGAAGGAACTTCTGCTCACACTTAGCTTGCGACAGCGTTACACTTGGACGTTAGATTTAGGGGGTATAGATGTTGACATTTCTGAAATGTATACTTTTGCTTTCAGAAAGTATACTTTTGCTTCTGTTTCCAGGCTCTGCCACTTTTGTTCATCTTAATATTCTCCTTGTATTTTATGTTCAACTTAACTTCTTTTAGGCACTTTTAAAACATAGTGGGGTGGGCACAGAGTTCATGCTTGTCATTCTAGCTACCTTAGAGGAGGAAATCAAAAGGATCATGGTTGGAGAGCAGCCAAGGCAAAAAGTTGGCGAGATCACATCACTACCAATAAACGCTGGGCATGGTGGTGCCTGTCATCCTGACTAGGTGGGAAGAATAAAAAGGAGGATCACATATAATATCATATAACTTTATATCATAAAGATCCCTACAGCCAAAAGGGTTGGGGTGTGGCTCAGGTGGTAGAGCACCATTCGTTTTGCTAAGAAGAGCAGGGTAGGGTGTTTGCTATTGCCACTCTTTTATTTTTTCTTGCTTTCTTAGGGGAAATCTACTTTGCAAATTCATTCCGAGCAGTTATTTCCAGTGCTTCTACATTAGGATTGCAGGATAAACACAGACACACAGTTAAGTGAATTAGATGAACCAGAAATACTTTTGTAGTTTAAGTGCATGCCATGTTATACTTGGGATATGCCAACACTGAACAATTACTCATCAATCTGAAATTCAAATTTAACTGGGTGTCCTATAAGTCTGGCCATAGTTCTTTGAAGACTAATGTCATTCTAATTCTCATTCTTATTCAGAGTATGTTTCTCTACATGCTTGTATGTGTGTGCACTATTGATGTAGTCAATCTGGCTTTAAGAAAAAGGAATATTCAGAGGAAAAAAATAGGAGTTAGAAATTCTTACAAATTATAATTTCGGTGGTTAAAATACAAAACTTTGGGCTGGGACTCAGTGGTAGAGATGTTGCCAGGAACGTGCAGGCAGCCTAGGGTTCAATTTCCAGCACCACCCACACATACACAAAAAATCTAACAGATGGGTTTGCAGATGTACAACCAAGAAAATCTGCAAAACAAAACAAAAACAAACCAACAGAACAAAACACAGACAGCTCAGCGCTTCACGCACGCGCACAAGGTCTAGCCTTTGGAACTACAGTTCCCAGCGTGCACCGCGGCTGAGGGGCGTGGCGGAGTGAGCGCGGAGGCTCCTTCCGGGAGCAGCCGGAAGGGACGCGCTTTATTCCTAGCTGTCTTACAGCTCTCTTCGCCCGAGTAAGGGGGTTGCCCGACGACGAGAAAAGAATTCGTGGCGGCGGCGGAGCAGCGGCCATGGGAGACCCGGGGCCGGAGGTGAGTAGCCGTGGCGTCCTCAGGGCCGCGCCGAGCCGCGGACGGCTCCGTGCCTCCTCCGGGTCGAGCCTGCTGCTCGGGCGACGCCTCCTCGGCGCCCTGCAGCAGCCATGGCCGCCCGGCCCCCGCCGCCCCGCTCGGCCGCAGCCGGGGCCGCCCCGGCCTCCCCTCGGAGCGGACGCGGCCCGGTCCCGAGCCTCCTGTCCGCTCGGCCGCGGTCTGCCGGCGTGCGTGGCGCGCTCGGCCCGGAGCTTTTGTCTTCAGCGGGCGCGTTGGGATCCGGCCCGGGGCGGGCGCTCACGGACACGCGTGTCCCGCTTCTCTCCCTAGATGATAGGATCCGTGCCGGCGGCCGGGCCCGCGGCGCGCGAGCCAGCGGCGGAGGAGAACGAAGATGACATTCAGTTCGTCGGCGTAAGTAGAGCCTTGGTGACCGCAGCGCGGACGCGGTGCCGCGTGGCGTGGGGTGCGGACGGGGACCAGGGCCGAGCGCGGGGCGCGCAGCGTCCTGCCCGAGGCCGTGGTTTGAAGCGGGCGACATGATCCCCTGAAAGGACGCGCAGGGCGAGCCAGGGGCAGGTGGAGGACAGGGAGGGAGGGTCGTGAGAGGGACAGACAGCTGGAGGACTCCTGACCTCTGAGGTCATCGCGTGACAGCACAGCGCAACAGTGAGGGCTGGAGGCCCGGCACCCCCACCCCAGCCCACCCCCGCGAAAGTGAATGCAGACCGTTGGTGCTGGTCTGAAAGCATCGCGCATGGCTGGGGGCGCGCTGAGTTGATTCCCTTTGGGACAGGGGTTTTAAAGTGTTAGCAAGTGGAATTCAAGGTGGATCCTGGGAATCTGCACTGTGGAACAAATGCACGATCAGTGTAACAGGAAATTAAACACATTTTTTTGTTTACTGAAAAAAATTGGAAAGAGGGTGCCATGGATCTTTAGGAAAAATAATTTTGACTTCTCCTGACTGGACATAAAGGAAATTTTGGGTAGTATGATCTTGACGGTGTTTTGCACAACAGTAAAAGTGACACTTTTTTTTTATGGCCTATATACCTTTGAGCAACACAGGAGTTTACAAAATTAAGATACGAACTACCCTGAGGAATAAATAATTACATCATATGTTCTGAGCTAGTTCTGGCTTGTAGTCAGCTGAAGTTTAAAACTTTTAAACTCTTTTGGTGGCACTGGGGTTTAAATTCAGGGCTTCATACTTGCTGGGCGGGTGCTCTGCCACTTGAGCTAGACCTTTCTGCCTTTTAGTTATTTTTTGGTTAGGGTCTCATGTGACCTCCTTCTCCCCCCGGGGTTGACTTCGGGCTGTGATCCTCTTTACTGCTGCCTGCAAAACTGAGACCACAGGCATACCACCAGACCCAGGTTATTGAATGAGCTTGGGCTCGCTAACTTTTTGCCCAGGCTGGCCTCAAACCTTTGTCCTCCTGATCTTTGCCTCCCAAGTAGCTGGGAATACAGGCATGAGTCTGCATGCCTGGCTTAAAACTCATAATTTAAATTGCACAGTTATCCCTCACTATCCATGTGGCATTGTTCTAGGACCTTGCAAATACCAAAACCTATAGATGTAGGTTTTCTACATATACAGATATAGGTATTCTACTCTTGTAGAATAGTATTTCTTGTAACCTGTGTATACCCTCACGTGTATTTTAAGTCATCTCTGTGTTACCTTTAACACCTAGTATACTGTGGATGTTGTGTAAATACTTGTACTGAATTGTTTAGGAAACAGTAACAAGAAAAAGTCTGTACATGTTCAGTACAGGCACAATTTTGATTTTCTGCATATTTTCCATCTTTGGTTCATCCGTCATGGAGCTCAGGGATACAGAGGGTTGGCTGTATTTTAAATACAGAAAATTTTTTACATACAAAGTTTTGAATATCTAGCTTGATAAAGCCCCTTGTAGTTAAATCTTTTTCTAAATAGAGGAACCAGCTTGGCAGTACCTCTTATTTTTAACCTTGTTCCAAATAGAGGAACAAAGACTTGACATCTTCAGATGGAAAAGTGAATTATATTCTCTCAAGGAAATTGCAGTATCAGAACTTATTAAAAACACTCCTGTTGTATTTAAATGGTGCCATATAAAAAGACAATGAAAATTTAATTCTACTTTAAAATACATTCAGAGACAAAACCTATTACTTACAGATTATTACATTATTATGTAATTTATATAATGTGTAGTGCAATTATATAATAATGTCGTTCCCATCTTAACATTTGATTCCTTCGCCTATAGAATAAAATGTAGATTTTTGACTGAGGTGTTTATGGCCTGGTCTATAATAATGTATCATGCATGTAAAGAAAGGTTAGAGAAGATTGATATTTGACTATATAAGAATGTGATGGATGAAGCAGAGTTGTCGAACTCCATGGTTTTGAGCTTAGGTATTTGAGATTATTGAAAACCATTTCAGCTTAGAAATACTGTTCCATTAAATCTGTCTTTTTAATTCTCTCTGGAATTCCCAAAGGAATCCACATGGCTTTATTCCTCTTTGTAAGTTTAGACTCCTTTGGAGTTTTGTCATTACTACATATTCATACATTTTTGAATCTTTTCTTGTGCCTTCTTTATTTCTGATTATTTTGTGATACTTGAAGGATTTTCTGGGCTGGAGGCCTGGCTCAAGTGGTAGAGCATTGGTATAGTAGGCACAAGGCCCTGAGTTCAATTCCTAGTACCGCCAAAGGGAAAAAAAAAGATTGTCTTCTCAGAGGATCCCTTGCCAGGTTCAACCAAAAAAGCACGCTACTAATTGTAAACTCAGACTTAATTTGGATGATTGTAAATGACTTACAAATTTGCTACTTCCTTTTTAGGAAGGACTGTCAAGACCAGTTCTTGAGTACATTGACTTGGTTTGTGGTGGTAATGAAGAGCCTCACATCCACCACAGTGATGTAAGCACATTATATTTCTGTTTCTTTGGTTCTTTATGGGCGATAGCATGCGAGAGGTGGTTTCAACTGAGTTACAAGAATCGTCTGTGAGGTTTTCTGCAATTTGTGAGTTGATTGTAAACATGGGAGTTTAAAAAATTAAAGTATATAAATGTACAGATACACAAATTATCATTTCCTTGTATCTGTTCACTTGAACTTATTTGCATCCATTGTATCCATATGATAGAAATGCCATAATAGTGTGCCTGGTGCAGCATGGAGGGAGTACGTGCCTAAGGGTAGTCAGTAAAATGCAAATCAGAGCTAGAGAAATTATTTTTTGATGATCTAAACTTAAAATAAGTAAAATGTTAATGCTAGTTAAACTTCAGATTGCAATATTGCTAACTGCTAGACTATGTATAGTATAAAAAGTTGAGGAAATTTCCTTGCAGTAGTCAATCAATTCAGCAAAGATATTGATATCTTCATTGATGAATGAGTGGAACTCTAGTGTGTCTTCATTGTTTCACTCTTATTAAAATTAATGAAAAAAAAATCACTCTTCATGTCGAACCTCTACTGATCTGCAAATCATATGACTGCTGTTTTTGACAGAATTGAATCGTAATAAAAAACATTCATAGATTTTTGTGACACTTGTTGACTATAGAATTTTAAAACTGATAGAGGATTTTTCAAGAAAGAGCAAATCACACTGAAGTTACAGGTATAAACTGAAATTCAAGGTAAGTAGATTAGTTGAAACTTTATTTCTAAAATTATATAAAGAAATCATTTAGAGAACTTTTTACATTAACCTTTTAATGAGATTTACTTACAAATGTAAAATTATTTTTCAGATTCTGTTTCCTAAAATGCCAAAACGAGAGGGTGAATGTTTGCATTTTTTAAATGTGAAGAAGGTGAAAACAGGCACAGAAAGTAATAATAGGAACAAAAATCACTGGATTGTCTTAAGTCAAAGGAACCCAGTTACAAGTATGTTGATCCAGCAGTCATTGAAGAAAGGCCACTGTGGTCAACAAATAAATAGATAATCTTGTGCTTCCAGATTGTTGGAGTGAAAAACAAGCATTTATGTTTACAGAACAGTATAAATGGCTTGAAATAAAAGAAGGTAAATTGGGATGTAAGGATTGCTCAACAGTTCGACATTTGGGACCAAAAGCAGAAAAGCATGTCCATGTGTCTAAGAATGGATTGCCTATTTAGTAACCCCTAATGGTAGTAATAAAACTACCAGGCAAGCTTTTCTTCGGAAAAAGATTAGGGAACGTGACATTTCTAAAGCTCACAGTAAAATTCAAGGTTTGTTAAAAGGATTCAGTTAATGACTCAGTTTCCACTGTAGTGCATAAACAAAATAGTAAAAATACTGATTTTACTATAAAAGTGTTTAACACTGTCTACAGTTTAGTAAAACATAATAGACCTTTATCTGATATTGAAGGGGCAGTAGAATTACAGGAGAATAATGGAGAGGTCAATTGTTTAAATACACGCTACAGTGCAACAAGGATAGCAGAACATATTGCAAAAGGAAGATGAAGATATTTAAGAGTAATGTAGAAGAGAATGCCAAAGTCTGTCATAATTGATGAGGCATATGCAGTTTCCAAGAAAAGCACCTCTGTGTACACTTCTGTCAGCTCCTGCACCTGTTAACGTTATTTGTTGCTTTAAAAGAATTGGTGTCAACTACAGAGTGCATTTTTAATACATTGTTCACTACTTTAAATGATTTCGGCTTTACAAATGAGTATTTGAAAGCAAATTCAATTGCATTTTGTTCTGATGGTGCTAATCTGATGCTGGGAAGAAAGTCTGGAGTAGCTATAAAATTGTTAGAACTCTTTCCTGAAGTCATTATTTGGAACTGTTTAAACCATCGATTGCAATTGTCACTTGATGATTCAATATCTGAAATAAAACAAGTTAATCATTTTAAAGTGTTTCTTGATAAAATTTATTGTCTTTATCATCAGCCTAATAAGAATCAAACCAAGCTTTTAGGAAGCGTAGCTAAAGAACTTGAAATTGAAATTAATAAAATTGG